TTTTTAAAATCCAATGTGTGGATCACATAATATTTCAAAAATTTTAACTTTTGAGTATAGATGATCCGCACTGTATGCTGATGTAAGATCATGTAAATCTTATGGTGCCAACATAAGTTTTACACTTTTTATTATTAAGCTTATGATTGACATGTGCAAATTTTTTTTATATTTTCTGGATGATAGACTTCAAATAACCTGCTTGTTAAAAAACTTCTTGATACTGGATTGGAATTGCTCATTATAAGATTTTGTTTTTACCTGAAAATAATTTGCTTGATCCAATTAAAAGTAAATTTCATGAAAAAGAGTGGAGATATTCAGAGCTAGCTTGGGCTAAATTTTGTAGTCACATTTATATCCAATTGATTGTAATGTTGTTGTTTTTTTGCTTAACTTAATGCTATTAATTTTCAGGCTGAAGAAAAAATTGTAAATGTAATTCCAAAATATTCAGATCCAATTGACAAGGATATTAAAATATTATTAGATAAATATAGTTATGCTCTTGAAAAAGCAACAAAAAAATTTGATGTAAATCTTAACCAACTGATAAATGTTATCACTGAAAAACCTTTTTTGAACCGGTCATACATTTTTGGTAAAGATTGGCCAGTCCAATTGATACAGAAAATATATAGTAAATTGTAAGAATGACATGATTTACTGTGATATTTGTGGTTATTGTTATTTTTATTTTACATTAACTTCTGACTATGTTTTATAGTTTAATATGTTTTCAGACACCAATAAATCTTATTCATGATAGCAATACATCGGAATATGAATATCATGATTGGATAATTAATCAATTGTGGCAAGATGTTTTTCTGGATGTGAATGGTGCTATACACATGCAAACATAAATTGCTTTATTTTTATATTAAGATTCTTTATCTAAAAAATATGTTCATATGACACCATTATGTAACTTGTCAACTAACGGGTACTAGGGGTGAAGTTGAGAATGCAAGTTGAAAAATTCAGAAAGATTCAGAAAGACCTTCAGGACAACACAGATCCATTGGTTGGTTCCATGATGTGATTTTGATAGTAATAAGGTTTGTATTCACGGATACCATGAATACTGTTAAGGGGTAGGGATGTTAAACAGCTGACTCAACCATGGTTGAACCGTGGTTGAGGCTGAACCAAACCAACTGTGGTTGAACCAATATGGTTGAACCATGGTTGAACCACGGTTTGTCGATCTGATTTACATAAATAACCAATTAAATTTTAATCATGATAAATGTAACGATTTTAAATAAAATAA